TTTAAAGAAGAAATGGTTAAGGCACAGAAGGGTTTATATTTTTGGATTATTCAATTTGCGGTTATTTGCATATATACATATATAGTACGATATATCAGGAACAGAATTCAAGTCTAAACATGATAATCATTTACATATGATATACATTTTCTACACATGGTCCGAAATAATCTTATATAATATTTTTACTGTGCCTATAATTTGACAGTAACTCACTACTTGAGGTAAGATGTGGAATTTTCCACTTCTAGTATCACACTGCTTCTGAAATCTGAGGTTCACTGCTCTCTCCTTTCCAAAAAAAAGAAAACAGACCTGGGTATGTTGGCACCCAGAGTGGTCAACATAGCCAGTTCCAGGTCAACAAGGGCTACATAGTGAGACCAGTTGAGAGAAAGAGAGCGAGAGCAAGAGTGAGCGAGAGCGAGAGAGCGAGAGAGCGAGAGAGAGAGAGAGAGAGAGAGAGAGAATATGAGAATGAATATGAGAATTGGTAAAAGGAAATGGATCTGTTTACAGTTTTGTTCAGTTCTGGATAGAGAAAAAATTCTCAGCTTCCGTCTTCACTGCTGTTAAAACCTACAGAAAAGATGAAACAAAAGCCAGGAAAGATGCACATGCTGTGAGGTAAGTTATCAGATCTGTCATATTACTCTTTCTAGAAAGTAATTCCTCCCCTAGCAGGTACTCCAATGGCACAAGGGCTTCAAGCTATTCTCACCCCTTTCATGGGATTTCCTGGAGAAATTTTAATTCTTTGGGGTTCCTATTATACTGTTATGCTGTTAGAGCTCAAAAGTTTCAGGTTCTTAGAGCTGGAGAGATGGTTCTACAATTAAGAGTACTTGCTCCTGCAGAAGACCAGAGTTCAGTTCCCAGCACCCACATCAGGCACCTCACAACTGCCTGTAACTCCAGTTCCAGAGGTTCCAATGCCCTTTTCAGGACTCTGAGGACACCTGCACATACATGTTGCACACATAAACACTCAAGACACACAAACACACACACACAAATAAAAATAATTTAAAATCTTAAAAATAAATAAACCAGGCAAGGTGGCGCATGCCTTTAATCCCAGCACTTGGGAGGCAGAGGCAGGCGGATCTCTGTGAGTTCAAGGCCAGCTAGGTCTACACAGTGAGTTCCAGGACAGCTGGGGCTACAGGGAGACCCTGTCTCAAAGACCCCCCCCCAAAAAAAGCAACATCTTGCATAGAACTATTTATCTTCTTTTACTATTATTAAATAAGGGTTGGCATGTTCTCAGCAATAAAGGGCATGCTTAGAATGCATGAGGCCTGATCCAAAAAAAGTGTTTGGTAACCCTCACGTCCCATGAGATTTTTTAAGCAACAAATTGCGAATCATTAGCTTATTTAAGATCCATCAAAACTGATGTCCAGGGGAAACACAACCCTCCTCCAAAAACCTAGAGACAAGCAGATACAAAGAGCCACTGTTTGCCTGGAACAGAATACTTTAAAAGCCTCTGACGAATTGGCACAGTCCAAGTATGGGCTGATGGAACAGTTTAAAATCCTGGGGCCTCAGTCTTAGAGGCACTCCCATAGTTTCCTGTATTTTATTTCCAGGAACCCTCACCAGTTTTTTGTTTTAATATTTTATTATTTTTTATTTTATGTGTGTGAATGTATTATATGCATGTATGTAAGTGTATCCATGTCATGCAATGCCTGCAGAAGTCAGAAGAGGGCGTTGGATTCCCTGGAACTGAAGTTATGGACAGTTGTTAGCCACCATGAGGGTGCTGGAAATCAAACCCAGATCTTCTGCAAGAGCAGCCGGTGCTTTTAACTGCAGAGCCATATCTCCAGCCCCACACCCCCACACCCACCAGGTTTTTAGGAAGATTTCATTGTAAAGATTAGAGGAATTGGGGGCTGGAGGGATGGTTCGGTGGTTAAGACACTTCCTGCTCTTCTCAAGGACCCAGGTTCAGTTCCCAGCACCCACATGGCAGCTAACTCTGTAACTCCAGTTCTAGGAGATCCGATGACCTCCTCGGGCCTCTGTCAGATCAGAGGAATGGTCCTCAAGGTTAGAGCAGGAGGAGGGGAAAGTAACTATATCAAAGTATGTCCAGAGCACCTTCCTAGAGGAAATGCAAAATAACCCCCAGACCCTTCTTGCCTTCCTGTTTCACCTAAGTGACTAGCAGGAAAAATTAGCAAACACTTCTGAAGGCCAAAACCAGAAACCTGGAACCACTGAAAAAACAGATTTATGATGGATGTGGTGGCTCACACCATTAATTCCCTGTACTTTTAAGTCTAAGGCAAGAGAGTTCAGGGTCAGCCTGGCTACTGAGTGAGATCCTGTTTGAAAGAAACAAAAATCAGATTTAATTGTGAATGAATCTCCAATTCCTTACGATGACATCAAGAGGGCGCTAGTATGGTTAATAGTGAAATAAAACTAAGAAAGCGCCAAGACCAGACTCGTTGAGGGAAGAATTTGTAGGAAAACCAAAAAACATGTGAGGAAAACAAACACTAGAAAAAACTTAAGGGCTAGTGCTGTAACACTTGGTGTAGAGCTTGCTTAGCATACAGGAGGACCTGAGTTTGACCCTAGCAGGAGGGAGAAGGGAGAAAATTAAGGCCTCAGATACCTATATCTACAGAAAAAAAAATAAAAAAGTCTTATTCCTAGCCAGTTTAACCCAAAATTTCACATTAGGACTAGACATGTAGCTCAGAGGAACAACACCCTGGCATATGAGGCCAAGTCTGATCCCCATTCATATCCCCCCGCCCCAAAAAATAAACCCTAACACTAAAAGGCCTAATGTTACCTCATTTTCTGTTACTAAATACATCATGCCTAGTTTCCAACAACAAAAAACACAAAGCACACTACAAGGTAAGAAAAAACAGTCCAAGGAGACAAAGTAAGCATCAAAACCAAACTCAGATATGACATAGAATTTGAAATTATCAGATTGGGAATATAAAATAACCAAGACTAATATAAACACTGCAAAGGAAAAGTAGGCGACATGCAAGATGAGAACGGTAATATAAGCAGAAAAGTAGAAACGTAAATAATCAGAAGGAAATGCTATCAATCAAAACTACCTGAGAGATGGCCCACTGATTAAGAGTACATCACTGCTCCTGCAGAGGACTGAAGCTCAGTTCTCAGCACCCTTACCAGGAAGCATTTCACAACCATCTGCAAAGCTAGCTCCAGGGGATTCAATACCCTCTTCTTGCCTCCAAGGGCACCTGCACGAAGATACACACACACACACACACACACACACACACACACACAGAAATAAAAATAAATTTTTTGTTGTTTTTTTTTTTGACACAGGGTCTCCCTGTAGCCCCAGCTGACCTGGAACTCAGTATGTAGACCAGGCTGGCCTTAAACTCACAGAGATCCACCTGTCTTGGCCTCCTAAGTGCTGGGATTAAAAGCATGCACCACCATGCCCAGCTAGAAAGAAATTTTAATCTCTAAAAAAGTGTACAAGAAATGAAGAATGCTTTTGAGGAGCTGACTGACTGGCAGGACAGGGGCAAGGGGGAAAAAAATCAGTGATACGATACTCAAAAAGTTTTGGATTTTGGAGCAGCAATGATTTCAGATTTTCATATAGTTAATCCTGCTCAATCTATCTCTGTTAAGAACTGCCTACATTAGTAAAGCAGCAAAGTGTTAAAATGGTCTTAAATTAAACCCATAGATGATCTCCATGAGTTTCAGGCCAGCCTGTGCTATACAGTGAGTTCAAAGTCAGGCTTGGCTACATAGTGAGAACTTGGCACACACAAAAAAGTGGATTTACATTAGTTATAAATGTATACTGCAAACTCTAAGGCAAGCAATAAAAATATTTCAAGGGCCAGCAAGATGGCTTATGGAGTAAAGGCACTTGCCACCAAGCCTAATGACCTGAGTTCAATCTACAGAACCCACACAGTGGAGAGAACTAACTCCCTCTACACTCACAATGGTGTGCATTTATGTGCATGTGTGCATACACACACACACACACACACACACACAATAAATGTAGTTTAATTTAAAAAATAACTCAAGTTAAAAGAAACTAGTAATAACGATGACAATGAAGCTGGCCACCTAACTCAAGAATACCTGGGCCAAGGAAGCAGTGCTGGTCCTACTGTTCACCATCCAGGGCTTCATTGTGATTCTATATCACCTCAGTCTCTGCATGAGCAGGCCATCATAAGTGATCAGGTCATGCCCAGTGATGAAAATATGTCTGATGTGCCCAGTCACTGCTTGAAACCCTAAGGAGTACCTAAAAACCCTGTCACCCGGTGTAGTGGCACATGCCTTTAATCAAGGTACTTGGGAGGCAGAGCCAGGTGGAGCTCTATGAAACTGAGGCCAGTTTGGCCTCCACAACTAGTTCTAGGCCAGCCAGGACTACAGTGAGACTCTGTCACAAAAAAAGGTATGAATCCCCCCCAAAAAAGTAGAAAACAGGTTACTAAAGATTTTAGGGAAAGGGAATGGGGGAATTATTGCCTAATGGGTACAAAGATTCTGTTTCAAATAAAGAAAAAATTCTGGAAATAGATAAAAATATTAGTTATACAACTTTGGGAATATACTTAATGCCACAAATTACATACTTAAAAATTGTTAAAATGAAGCAGGCATGGTAGTGCATGCCTTTAATCCCAGCACTCAGGAGGCAGAAGCAGGTGGAGTTCCAAGCCAGCTTGGCCTACACAGCAAGTTCCAGGCCAGCCAGGGTTACATAGGGAGATCCCTATTATATATACTATTTCACCCCTCAAGGCCACTAAGATGGCTCAGTAGATATAGGCATTTGACACCAAGACTGACTAAATGAATTCAATCCCCAGGACCCACATGGTGGAAGGAAAAAAAACAACTCCCAAAAGATGTCACCTGACCTCCACACACACACCACCATGGAATGCACACACAAGAGCAGACACAAATGCAAATAAATAAAATATTTTTTCAAAGCTCATTTTGGTAGCCTACATACTAATTGGAATGGTACAGGGAAGATTAAACATGGCCTCTGAGCAAGGATGACCCACAAAGTCATGAAGCGGTCAGTTTTTTTTTTTAATTTTATGTGTATGAGTGTATTGCCTGTATGTATGTAAGTGCGCCCGTGTTGTGCAATGCCCACTCAGAGGTCAGAAGAGGGTGTTGGAGCCTCTGGAAGTGGAGTTGTGGACGGCTGTTAACCACCATGTGCTGGGAATCAAACTTGGGTCTTCTGGAAGAACAAGTGTTCTTAACCACTGAGCCCTCTCTCCAGCTCCAGCAGTCTATGCTTTTAAAAAAGAAAAAGAAGGGTAGGTGAGATAATTCAGTGGGCAAAGGTGCTTGCTGCCATTCCTGACAAACCCGAGTTTGATACTCGAGACCCACATGGTGGAAGGAGAGAACTGACTACTACAAGTTGTCCTCTGACCTCTACATACACCATGGCATGTACATGCCCATGCATACATGAATGCACACACACACACACACACACACTAAACAACTTATCATAACTGAATTACAGACAGGTCAGGTAGTTTGAGCAAGCTGGTTCTGTTTGTACCTTTTTAATATTTTCTTTTCAGTGCTGGAGATTGAACTCAGGGCCTCCCTCACAGGCTAGGCAAGTATTCTACTGCTAATCTACTTCTCCAACACCTTGGTCTTTGTGTGTGTGCGCTCGTGTGTGTGTGTGTGTGTGTGTGTGTGTGTGTGTGTGTGTGTGTGTGTTGAAATATACCAGTTTTCCTTGTTACTTCCAATAGTATTACTCTCAGTAAATATCTTCTCAGGACTGATATTGCAAAAGTAGTATTCTGGGCATCTTTGCCTCGCTCTCAATGCTAACAGAGTATGAGGCACATATGCTGTTGCCTTCTAGAATAGAAACATCCTGCCACTACTCCTGGCTAAGTGCAAAGTTTTATCCCAAGAGGACACTCTTATTCCCTAGCAAGCAGTCCTACTGCCCTTGTCTACTAATTTTGCTTTTCCACTCTCCCCATGATTATTCCACCATTTTCTCTCCAGTCCCGGGACCACTCGCTCTCAACTGATCTTTCCTAGATATTACCCTTCTTAGTAAACTCAACTCCTGCTTCTTTATGGGCTCTGGATCATATCATTCTTTCACTTTCAAAGGGGCTTTCTGAACTCTATAATTTCAGCACTTGATAGGTTAAAGCAAGAGGATCAGGAGTTCCAGGCCAGTCTTGTCTACATAGCAAGTCTGAGGCCAGCCTGAGCAACATAAAACCACCCTATCTTAAAGAGTGTGCAGGGGCTGGAGACATGGCTCAGCGGTTAAGAACACTGGTTGTTCTTGCAGAAGACCTGGGTTCGAATCCCAGCACCCACATGGCAGCTAACAACTGTCCACAACTCCAGTTCCAGGGGATCCGATGGCCTCTTCTGTCCTCTCGGGCATTGCACAACATGGGTGCACTTACCTATATGCAGGCAATACACTCATACACATAAAATAAAAATAATAAATAAAATATTTGAAAAAAAGAAAGTGTGCTTTCTGGAGTGGGAATGTAACTCACTCACAGTGATTACCTTACAGGTGCAAGGTTCAGTGTTC